ATTCTGTTATTGAACAGTAAGGTTGGTAATGTATGATAATTTATCGTTGTGAGGCCTTATCCGTTTCCTGTTAGTTTGGCTTAATAGTAAAGTTCAATTGCTAATTTTATAATTGAGTTAAACAATCGAAAATAAGACCGACCAAAGATTTAAAATTGACAGCTTCGATTTTTAGTGATGTTGTTTTTGACTTTGCTATTAAACGAACGGTTAGAGAAATTCTATCGATTGTTTTGCATTTCTGACAAATTATTTGGCATAGTACGGGGCTGGTAAACGATATTTATCATTATAAATATTAAACGGGGACGTCCTATCGATTGTTTATCATTACGGCACTAATTATTTTGATCGATAGTGGAGTTGGCTTGCTATGTTTACTTATCATAAGAATGATTGGTACTATACTATTGATTGTTCATTGATATTTCGTTTTTAAACTCGAGAGACATAATTGTGATGATAGCCGTGCACATTTTCGGTCGGACAAAGCCAATCGGTACTTTTCCGACGTGATGGCTCATAAGACGAACTTGCATCGGCGAAATGTTGTATTTGTGCATTTAGTTTGTATAAACACAGATTTAGGTAATTACTATAATATAATCGCTTTGAGATTTTTGTAATGACAGTGAAACCAAGGGTGCAAAAGTTGTAGCGCACATTAACACCGGATGAATGCGCAATCAGGTACCTTCCGCTCGTTTAACATCCAATCTGTATGTTATTTTGACAATATACAGTACTCAAAAATACATGTACGAATACAAAACCATTGAGATGATAAAATTTGAAAAAATCAGAATAGCATTTTACGCCTAATGCTTTGAAGTTATGCTTAAATTGATGTAATGTTATTACTTAACTTAATGAAATACACACACATAAAAAAACACATGTTTTCACATCGTTGTATTTAATTCCTGTAGTTTGTTATAGAAAATTTGAGCTTTTTCCTTTTCGTTCCAGTTGAAAAGACGGTAAACGTAAAATTGAATGCGTCAAATAGCGCTGAGTGAAAGATGTAAGAGTAGTATAGGCTCAGATCATTTGTATAATAGTAAAGCTTATTTAGACTTTGATTAAGTTTTAAAAGTTTAAGTTTGTGTGCACACACCTGGCTCATAGCAAAATAACGCCCGGCCAGTCTGAAAGTTTATTTTTTAGCTGACCCTAGGGTCTATATCAACAAAACAGAACTATTTACTTATTAAAGCTAATACTTGCACCACAGGTTCTTTTCTAAGCTAGACATTATCTGCAACGATGAGATTCATGTTAATGTAATGCGATTGTTTCGATATGCTGAGTAGGTTCAATTTCGGGTAAAACATCTAGCCTTTATTTTATACTTGGGTCCTAATAGGAGCAATACTCCTGGTACAATATTTTGATTCGTAGCTTGGCTCGCGCTCGTGACCGTCGACTTGTTTTTTTACAACTACGGCATTCGAAAACGATGATAACGACACATGTGTTTAATGAAATCAACGATCAAGATATTTGTCAAAGCGGCATTTGCCCCGAAGGCGATGAGCGATATTGAGCAACACAAGTAGATCTACGTGTGTATATGGCCTGCAGCGAAGGTTAGCCTTTCATTCGCGAATACGCCCTCACCTCGTGTACCTGATAATCGCTGATCGGTTCAGCCTTCTACTTCTCCCCGTTTTATTGTTGGCTGAATAGCATTGTTTCGTTGCTCGCGCCATGTGGCTCATGCTTCGTCATTTTACGATCAGGGGCAAAGTACTACACGCTTTTCATGAACAAAACGTGCTAGTACTATTGATCTGCTTTAACTTTTCGCCAGAGCTCGTATACTCGTAGGGTATGACGATGCTCGATCAAAATGAAGAAATGACCCTCCCATTCCAACGCACCGAAGGATATGTCCAATAATTGCACTGCTTCGGTGACAGAGTGGAAACGCACTGGCACTGGGACCGGGAGGCACGCGGATCTATACCCGCGCAGGGGCGATACGATTACACATCGCCGGAGAGTGGCTAACAAAGCCGAATATAGTGGGGCCTACGCCAACCCGAATGTACCTCAGACATTCTCTCTCTATGTTCAATGTTTGGTGCGATCCAATGTAAGAAATACCGCCATGACTTATAGCCGTCTATCGAATTGTTTTTACTTATCCGGGCTACGGTGACGTCATGGAGGCTACGAATGACTCCATCAAATCGATGCAAGCGATTTACAATGTCGTGCTTAAATACGTCGCTCTTTTCGTTGACCGGATGATTGGCATACCATTCATATGTGGACCTAAAGTGGTGGACGGCTATGATTGATGGTGTAATCGATACAACGAGCCAAGTCTGTGATTTGTGCATCCTGTGATGGTAGTGCATCATGCTTCAATGCTGTGGAGTAAGTAACGACCTCTTAAAAAATCGAGGAGATGAAAACAAGTTGATTGATATGCGAAGTCTCGCCAATACGAGGTATGTCTGAGTCGCCCTTTTCGATGTCGGTGCCGCTTCTTGTAATCTGTGATTTACGCAATCACGCGACTGCAGTTTAAGACCTGACAACAAGCGCGGCGGAGCTAAAACAGCTTCTTTGACAAAGAAAGGCTTTAGCTCTACGATATACGTCGTCCTTAACAAGAACACGAGTCAACGAGTCTACTAAGCTCACTGAGCTTCAAGTCCCGGGTAAAGGGACTTCAACGATTCAATGAATCACCAGCACAAAGCGCTTACGAGTATATGCCTTGACATCGTTGTAGCGGAGCTACACAGATTCTTAAGTCAGAGGAAGACTTAACGCTCTTACGAGCAACTTTGGTTCTACGAACCCGACTCAAAGAGTCAACAGCTCCGAGAGCAAAAAGGTGGTTCAAAGAACCCGACTCAAAGAGTCACACAAGCTCAAAGAGCTTACGGTCCCTGTTCCAGGCGGACGAAACTATTCAAAGAATCAATCGCACCAAGTGCACGAAGAGTAGCTGCCTTAGCAAGGCGTTGCTACTTCCTTACGATCGCAAAACGCCTCAGAGAGGCACGTGTCTCTTGTTGATCATTATGGAAACTGAATTTTGTTTCTTCTTTTAACCTAAAAGAAAACCGTAGAACAAAGTAAATAACCTACTCACTTATGTCCTAAATAAACCTATTAAAAGATCTCGTAATCAATTGTTGACAGACATCAGTCTTCAACTACTGATACTTGTGTTATAATATTACTTGAAAGGAGTTCCCATCCCTTGTGTGAACCACACCTATTGTCGACTACCAGTCGACGTGTAGTCCCGTTACAAGGGATTACAACTCTTGTAATCAAATACGCCATAACAAGGCACGTGTCGGATTAGGTCAAAGTGCAAGTGATGTTTATTTCCACTTTTTAACACTAAGATGAATCCTGCCAATTTACTACATTTTAAGGCTTTGCCCTGTATTAAAGTAAAAATTGAAACATATCTTCGATGGATAAAACGGCACTGATGTTGGGGGATTGTAACGGGGCACACCCTTGCGTGAACTTAACGCAAGAGTAATGTGCGCCCAACAGACGTACACGAGGCAAACGAGGAAGCATAGATAAGGTAAAAGCAGAACTGTTATATTAATATAATCAAGTCTTTAACCACTGTCTCTCTGTTTGACTTAGCTCAATTATACCAATCTAACTGAAAGTATGACGACGTCTCGTCACCACTCATTGCGCGCGTCTTGCGGCGATTGGTGGGTTGATATCATCAAGATATCAACCAATGAGCAGACTCTTTGGTCGACCCATCAATATCACCACCATTGGTGATATTGTACAAAGAATATTTACGTTAATATTCTTTATTGTCATTATCTTTTAAATGACAATTTCCATGTAACGGGCTGCCCCGTTACAGGGATGGTACGATGAATGGCACACGTACGTGTGCCATGGATGCTCAACCACAGTGTACCATTGACAGAACAAGTCCAAGCCAACGACTGAAGTTGACTTCTCGCGGCATGCTATCCTATCAACTCGACACGTGCTAGCTATAGTCGCGGCAGACGCGGAAGACCTGACGGAGTCTTTGCGGTTATTTGGCGCGAGTATAAAGAAAGAATTTGTGCTGCATGAACGCGGCGTATTTAATGTTTGGAGGCCGGGTGACAACTCTACATTGCAGTGGTGGCGTGTGGTACGAAGGAAAAGGTAAATTACGTGTAACAAAGAAGCTGTAACTTGAGCTGCAGCATTGTGGTGGACAAGAACACGCGGCACGTGAGAATGGTCGGGTGCGTGATCATCCAGGAAGACCAGCCACAGAGTCTGGTGTTGCGAAGTTCCGAGCAATACCAAAGACTCTACAGTAACTCGATGCACTGCCGTAAGAAACATTTTGCATCGCGATAAGTTACTAGTTGCCACGTCAACAACGTCGCGAATCGTGTGACTTGAGCTGTGTGTTGTACATCAAGTTGTCGCGACAAGCAGTTTTAGTCTAGTGCCATCTTACTTGAGTGAAGGAAGGAGGCGCATTGCGCACGTGGTTGCGACCCCCGCCTTGAATCCCATCCGAAGTGGGTCGCGCAGTCGATTGCTTCACGCAACAGGCTTACCTCTTCTTACTCGTGCTATCCAGGACACTACGACCAATGCATTTCGGCAATATGGTGCGCTCTGACACTTCATTCGACCGACGACGCCGATAATCCGCACTTGAGTGACATCCTACTTTGTCTCGTTTACGCATGGCGACGTTGAGCGAAGTAGAGAGATGCAACCCGTGTTTTCCTTCTATGTTAGGCATTAGGCAAACAGACAGCGTCAAAAGAAATGTATTATGTCTTAGCATTGATAAGTGCGACACGACGAAAGTCGAGCGTAAAATCAAAGTGACGCCCTTGTGTCTGACAACCCTCGATCAAATGTATTCGACATGAAAATACGTACCAGAAGCTGCATGCGCTGTGGGCGAATGGTAGAAATGCAGCGCACCCATCGCTCAAGTGTCAACGCCAAGCAGGGCCGGACGGTCGAAGGGCATCCTACTCGACCTTGGGGTTGCTGTCTTTGGGCGTCCCAGGTGTTCCAAGCGGGCTACCGGGAAGAGGTTCTGGCAGCTTTACCGTAGGAAGAGCTGCAGCCGCGGTTCCATCCCCCTCTGCAAATTTCTTGAACGCGGGAAACTTCAGGCCCTCGAAAAAATCATCAAGCGATTTGAAGTTGGTCTTGAGTACACCGGCCACCTTGTCCTCGCCCACTTTCGAAAGATCATCTATAACCGTTTTGAGGTGATTGTGGATATCGATCCGCGTGGAGTCAAACTTCGAGTATGCCAATTCGATCGAAGTCACATCTTTCTGTGGTTCGTATTCTTTCTTCCACGTGGCCTTGAGTTTGGCTAAGTCGCCAGCGACAGCATTGACACTGATTTTAATCACTGCAAGCTGCTTACTTTCGTCCATCGTCTTCAGGGCATTCGTTATATACAACGAGGCGTCGTCGGCGACCTTTCCGCCCCACTCATCCAAACGAGTCCATACCGCTTGACCATCCACTACATCTGCAGCGCCTTTCGTTGCGGTTTGCGTGTACTTCTGAAAAGCTTGCGTAAAGCGGTCACCGATCGATTTACCTTCGACCTTCAAACTCTTCGCCCATTTTGTGAACTTATCAATGAAAGATCTATTAGACAGCCGCTTCATTATCTCATCCCACCACTTAAGCGGCTTTCCCAGGATCTTGTGCTGTTCCTTAAAGTTCCCAAGAACTTGGCCGTAGCGGGCCGACCGAAATGCCCATTGGTCCAACGCTCTCGCAAGGAAGCCACTTGTAGCAATTTCTCCAGTCATCGGCCCAGCTATGTCGGAGACATGTGCAGTGTTGATTCTCTCCTCACGGTCTACAGACAGCGTCGAATCATCATCGCCAAAAGACTGTCGCAGAAGCCTCTGCGGGTCCGTGTCGTAGGCGTTGCTGTCCATCACGCGGGCCACAAGAGAGACGTGGGGCTCGGGAAGAGCATTCGCCGTGACACCAGTCGAATCCGCGCCACTGGAAGCGAAAACAGCGGCGAGAGCGGTAGCAACGGAGTAGGCCAGACGCATGTTCTAGTTGCTTCAGTCAAATATGCCGTGCGCAACTGGTGTGGTGACCGTGATACGGTGGTAGTGCTGGATGTGGCAGTTGTGACGGTGGTGTTGACGGTGGTGGTGGAGGCAGCTAAATTGCAAAGTGAGACTTGTGGAGCAGCACGCGCGTGGAGCTCTTCGACCTGTGCTCAGCTATCGGATTCCACAGGTCTGATCCGAAGAAGCTTCCACCGGCTTCAACGACGAAGACGAGACGAAGACGAGACGAGACGACGACCACAACAGCCCTCATATCGTTCTTTCACAATGCACACAGCAATTTACTCCACAACGAGCGCGTTCTGCCATTTGATAGATCCCGAGACCTCCATGCTGTGAGTGCTGCCAACAGCTGACAGTAAAAGCTAAGCTCAACGTGTCACAGGGCCAAAAAGGGCGCCGAGTCTGTCACGTGTAGCGCGCGCGTCACCACTCCACAGACTGCCTGTTCGTGCAAAGAGCTGCCTACGGGAAAGAAAATCTGATCGCGCGACCGGAAGTAGTTCCACAGCTCGTCTGGTTTTGGAAAAGAAGGTTTTCAAGCACTGGTGAGCCAGTGTCTCTAGCACGCCTCCTTTCGTGATGGGTTGTATAGAGCAAATGTGGGCTTGAGCTGTTGTGTACAAGCCTGTGGGACTGCACAGAAACGAGGTTTCGAGCGACGTGTCCAGTGCTCCCTCCAGCAGTCGATATGAAAAGCAGCTGGCTGTTTCGATACCATATCGAAGGCTTATGCAAGTTTGAAGGGCAATGCTACCAGTGTGCAGTAGGTGAGAGCCGTCTTCTCGGTGTCTTCTTTCTTTGTGTGTATACGTGTGTTTTGTGAGTCTCGCGGAGACAAAACACGGGCATCCACTCACAAAGCAAGCACGTCTTTCTCACAACATTGTGTGTATGTTGTAGTCGACTTTTCGCACTATTGGACAGCTCAAAAGAGCGATATGTTGAAGTTGTGGTGCAAGGTGGCGCTCATGTAAGACTTGCTACTCTATACCTGCCGAACAACAGAGCTGCACTGATAAGGCGACCTTATAATACATAACACTATCTTCTTTACAGGGCACGCTTCTTGCCAGATGACTGGCAATACCTTGTGTGTACTCTAAACAAGGTTGTGTGCACCCGACGTCACGTACACGTGGCGAGGAAGCGCAGCGAATTAGGCAGAATTCGAAAGCTCTGTCTAAGGATAAAAGTAGAGCCTTTATTCAATATAGTTAAGCTTCTTACTAAATCATCTTATGTCTTAATCTAAGTATATTAAGCAACCATCTCCTTTGTGGGTCTCTTGCTCACCACCCATTTCGCGCGTCCAGCAGCCACTGGTGCTTAATCTGGTTGATGTACCGTGAACATCAACCGTCAGATGAAGCAACCCATCAAAAAGATATTACCCTCGGGGGTGATATTCCATCCACCTCAAGCCTTACGAGTAATGTCAATTAATCATTATCTAAATGGATAATGCTCAAAAATTGAAATAAAGATATCAATTTTTATGTAACGGGCTCACCCCATTATATAACCCCCTTAACCATCAGTCACTACAGTGATTGATTGATTGATAAGTAACAGAGTGACTACCGTTGGGTCGCTCAGTGGAAAAGAAAGCACTTGTTGGTTATGCCTAACGAATTCAGCCTTTCAGCGCATGACGAGTTCGTCCATGCGCTGCGCGAGCAAGGCCGCCAGTAGAGCGGCTGCACGGGGGCGTGTTGCCGGAGAACCAGCTGTCCAAGACTCAGCAGCAGGTGTCAAGTCACCTTCTGCTGCCAGTAAGCCGCCTGCAAACACCATAGCTGCAAGAGCACGTGGTCAACCACGTGCTGCTCCTTCCGCAGCTTCGGTTGCGATAGATAGTTCTATGGACCAAGCTACCGAGACAGAGGTGGTCTATTCACGCAAGTCAAATTCTCCATCCGACTCAAAGCCATGCGCCGAGCCCGACCGTAAGGTTGCGGAGTCGACGACTGCTGCGCCTCGCGGCACCCTCGAGAAAGACTTGCGCCATGAGATGTTCGCTTCATCCGACAAGTCTGTGAATTCGTCGCCGGGATTGGATTGACCGTGCTCGTATTCGTACGAGGCGACTACGAAACATGAAAACGTATGTCCTAATGAAATTATCGATGATTTTTCGCGGAGTCATCATAGCCAGAGCCGCAGCGAACCTAGGTATTGCGGCGATTGAGGTGCTAGCTCTTATGTTGGCACCACGCAGGAAGATCAGGATCGCATCGCGTTGCGATCTGCTCCTGAGAGCAAGCCATGGATGCCTACCTTAAGCGAGAAATAGAGTGGTATTATTTTACCACTGGGAGTGTTTGGACCCCACTCTTCGTCTAGTCAAGGATCCATGATCTTGATCTCAGTGCGGAAATTTATAGCAGTGAGCATAATTTTGCATCGATGTCTTTTTGAGACATCGATGATACCACGGTTTCCACAAACGAGACGAATTTTCGTCGGCTTAGGCGAGAAATTCTTTTATCGGCAACATTGAGAATGTTTGTCGTGACACTTGGCTAGACAAACTTTCTGCAGCTAGCAGTAAATTTGAACAGAAGTCCATTACTGGTGCTCGGTTTAATTTGAATCGATTGGCTCGAAAGGTAAGTTTATTTTGCCTGTTGTAGGGAGAGAAATGTCAGAATTGTATTGACGACTCTGCTTGCGCACCTAGGGAGACATACCTCCTTTATCAACCCTACTGGAGGGCGCGTATCTCTTCCTAGATGATTTAAGTAAATGAGACGTTACAATACCTTTATGAACGCGCCAGGCGGTCGTTCGACAATGGCACTCCATCTCCAATCAGATTGTCTCTTCGTACAGATCGACGAGGCCGGGCACATCCATCGTCAGCTAAAAGCTGGGCTCTCAGCTGTTTCACGTAGGGGGATACCCCGCCACTGGACGAGGAACCCGTCCTTGATCCTATATTGTCACGGTGATTCAATAGACTCTTCACAAAGAAGCTGCGGACCTGCAATGTTTACGCTATAAAATGTTTAAGAAATGATAATGCAACAAATTTATGTATATATAAAGCTATTGCGGAAGCGTATGGTACGACTATCTAGCCTCCTTCCATCTCTCTAGCACATAAATTTATTCATTCGGAGAGGGCCTTCTAGCACTCCTAAACCCTTTGCTTAAGTCAAATATTGTTTTTTGGTAAGAATCTACTCGCCAATTTTAAATCGTGGTAGATACATTGGAGGGATTTGCTCGCCTAGATCATATTTTCTGGGCTTAATTTGCCGTGTTTAGATATTTTTGACATTGTTTGCAGTGTCGACTAGTGACATACGTATCCGAACGGGATACAAGATTATACAGCTAGCCTATTCAATGCTTTTACTTATATTACTACTGCTACCGACGCGGTACAAAGAAACCGAGCAATTTGTTTAACCAAAAACGAAATTAGAAATTTACCTGTATGATATTTTGACCTCTCTCCATTCATTTCTTCAATAACTATCAAATATGAGTTGCACGTAGTCATGTGTATCGCTCCTTATAATTTGTTAACCCCTTCGCATCCAATTCAACATTACAGCACCCCATGGTATAATGCATTATAAGTTAGATGGTAAATAAGGCATGAATTACCTGTAAGCGTTATGGGTAGTGGCCGTCTTGGTGTCTTCAAAATCCGTAAATTTAATATCAGCAGACTAATTCTAAAGGTTCGATAATACTTTCTTGCTACTACTTCGCTTTGGAACCTGTTATCCACTAAACCTAGTTAGCGTTGGATCAGAGACCTCTAATTGCATATTTTTGGCGGTTGAATATTTGGAGCAAGTCAACGTATAATCATCAAGCCGTAAATTCCATGTGACATATGACACTATATACATTGATCGGTGCAAACGGACCTTTTTCTCGGCGAAATCGATGTTACCCTACTTATGCAATATGTATGCAATTGGTGTCCGACAAATGCATGGTATGAGCAATTAATATTTAAACTAATATTTACAAAGCATGGTCGTATACTGCACGCAATACAATATATATTTGGTTGATTGTTGCGATCGCTATTCTGGATGACCGAGATTGGCGATACAACCCTACTTTTTCGTGCACGAGAGGTATGGTATTTACAAAACTTCTATTGAACCCAAGTACGTAGGAAAAAACTTTGGTTCGTGTAATAAAGCGTTCAACACAGTTCCAGACATATCGAATGTTCTTAGAACCATAGAGTAAATAAGAAGTGCCCAAATACGTACCAGACATTGAATTTTTAATAAATCGGTCACATTCACTAATATATGACGCATAATCGGGTGATATTTACAAAATTCGGAAATTTGTCATATTTATTCTAAGCTTACAATACTTAGCCTTCAACACACAGTAATTTATGCTTTTCACCAAAAATCTCATACGGCATATTAATTGTAGCAGCGAGTCACCGGATTATCGAAACTTAATTTAAGTGAGGAGGGGGTGAGTTGTAGAACTTGGAACTCATCAAAACATTTCAAATGGCAGGAAACGCATAGAAAAGAGATATTTATGTGAAATTTTGGTCGGCCTCTAACAACCCTCAAAATTAATCGCAACAGGCGTCATATACTTCTGATTAAAGCAAAAATTTGAGTCAGCCAATTGTTATAATCATTGGTCGCGCCTATTTCTAGATGAAATTTGAAGGCGTTTGGATTTATCATTGGTAAGGATTGATCAATAATTTATGTGATTGTATAGATTAGACTAGACAGTGTACCGCTTTAGTTATTGAAAGTCATTTTAGAGACTAAAAGACGAGACCAAATAAGACCAATACTTAATGACCACGAAATAAATAATAAATCTTACGATCTTAATCCATATTAATCGGCAAAGTTAAGTCAAGATTGACATACCACTATTTAAATTTTTATTCATTTTAGCATACATCGAGCGAAATCCTTATAAGCCCTTATACATTCCAAACATACAACGGTAAAAGTCATCAG